TAAAAATATTCATAGAATATTTATAAAAAAAATACAAATGTTTTTGCATCATTTAAATAAACATATTTCATTGTTTTATTCAATTATCTGTACTATTTTTTTCTTAATTAGTTGCTTAATAGTAACTATAAATAAGATGATACCAAAATTGTGAAAAAATTGTGAATAAAGAAAAAAAAGTCAGCAATATAATTTAATTTCGAAAAAATGATGAAAATTAAAATATTAAATAAAGAAATAATCAAAAGGATAAATAAAAATAAGTTTATTTGTTTTTATTTAAAAAATAAAATTAATTGTACAAAAATAGAACTAAAACAGCTTTATCTCTTAGATAAGAAGTCAATTTTTCAGATAGTTTTTAACTTGAGTTCTAATACAATTGTTAAACAAGCTAGTGTTTTAATTTCTATATGAATAATATAATAATTAAAAAAAAATATCTTTCTTAAAAAGAAAAATTTGTCAAATAATTTATTTTTTGGAAGATTTTTGGTAAAAAATCTGATGAAATGATATTTTTGTCGATAGAAGGTAATCATTTGATTAAATATACAAAGTAATAATGAATAAAATATTAGAATATTTTAGAATATTAGAATAATAGAATATTAGAATAGAATATTAATAAGAATGTTTATAATAGAATGTATTCTATTCATGAAATAAGAAATATTCTTCATTGGTTAACTAAATATTCACTTAAATGTTAAATATCCGGTAATATATAAATCCGGTTTAAAAGCAAGTATAAATACATATTCAAGAATTTGCTCTTTGAACCGTATGAATTAAAATAACATTATCAAAAGGTCAATTTCTGCGTCATTTTCTGAAGTCTCAATCCTTAGCTAGACAATTAATCGCTTAGATTGCTATTTTGCTAATTGATTGATAGAAAGATAAGAAAAGAAGCAAAGAATTTTAGTGTTAAAAAAAATTAATCTAAAAATAAATAAGATACATTAAGATCATTACATTATGTCTGTAAGTTATATTCGAATTGTAATTATCGAGCGATTTTTTTGATTCATTCAGAAGTAAAAATGAGAAATATTCGTGTCGAAAATTCATTATTGGTTTCAGAATTGCGAAGCCGATACAAAGATGAAATCAATGGAATGTGCCTCAATAGCTACGTTTTACGCTGGTCGGAATATTTTTATAACCGGTGGTACTGGTTTTTTGGAAGGTATTAATCGAAAAATTATTGAGATCTTGTCCCGAAATTGGATACATATTTATTCTAATGCGGCCAAGAAAAGGATTATCTATCGACGATAGATTGAAGAAAATGTGTGAATTACCGGTTAGTAGAAAAATATTTAACTGTAATATATATGTTCTCGTGTTTTTCATAATTTATTTTTTTTTAGTTATTTGATAAATTGAGAAAAGAAAACCACTCTAGTTTCAAAAAATTAATTCCGGTTCTTGGTGATATAAGCGTCGAGGATTTAGGTTTATCAAAAATCGAAAGACAAAAAATAATCGAACAAGTTTCGGTAATTTTCCATATAGCTGCAAATGTTAGATTCGAGGGAAATCTAAAGAACGATATATTGATTAATGTTCGTTCAACAAAGGATATCTGTATTCTTGCAAAAAGCATGAAAAACTTAGCGGCAAGTAAAATTATTCTTTTTGTTCTTGGATATTTTGTATTCAATGTTTATTTTGAAAAATATACTTTTATGCAGGTTTTAGTGCACATTAGTACTGCATACGCACATGTTGATAAACCGGTGATCGACGAAATTGTATACCCTCCCTTAACCGATTGGAGAAATGTTATAAAAATGGTAGAATCATTGGACGAACAAATTGTGCAAGTATTTACTTCTAAGTAAGTAAATTATTAACCTATCTTTTCCAATTCCCTCGGTTGACTTCGTTAAAAATTAAAATTTAATGAATGGATTATTTCATTTATAGATATTTGGGTTCAATGCCAAATACATATACATTTTCCAAGCGAATAGCGGAACAGGTGATAAATGATTATTCGAAAGATTTACCTACTGTAATTATTCGGCCCGGAATAGGTACACATCCATAGTGAAATTAAACGCAATAAGATGCGATATGAAAAAAGTTGATAGAAAAAACTTAATAATAAAATTGTTATCTCTTCTGGTATAGTGATCTCAACAATCAATGATCCCATACCTGGCTGGCTAGACAACTTCAATGGACCTGTAGCAATGATGATTGCTGGTGCAAAAGGAATATTACGAGTAATTCGTTTAGAACCGCACAAAAGTGGAGATTTTCTTCCTGTTGACTTGACTATTAAAATTATAATCGCAGCAGCATGGAAACGAGGATTAAACACGTATAAGAATTCATAATATTAATCAACTAAATATTAAATTAAATTAAGTTTTTGAAAATATTTATAGAGTTACCAAGGATCCAACTACTCACGTGTACAATGGCACCTCTTCTCAAATAGCTCGCACTTCACATAAAGAAATGGTTGAAATAGGATTAAAAGTAAATAAAGAAATACCAGTTGAAGGAATCATTTGGTATCCCCAGACTTTTATAATATCGAATCGTTTTCTTTATTTTTTATTGACATTGTTGATTCATGTAATACCAGCCTTGATTATAGATGAAATTCTTAAAATAATGGGTCGTCAGCCGATGTAAATATATTGTTATACACTATTTTTATTCTTTACTTACAACTTTCATTCCAGAAATTTTTTTTTATTTAATTAGACTGATGAAACTTCATAAAATTATTTATTCACATGTAACACAATTAAGTTATTTCTTACATAATGAATGGATTTTTTATAATTTCAAAATGTTGGACATTTTTGATATGCAAATTCCAATGGCAGAACGAGAAATCTTTGGCTATGATTATCGCAATTTTGATAAAAATAAATACTATACGTGAGTATGCGAAATATGAACGATTAAAAAACACACAAGCAAATTTTTTTTTAATAAGTCTTTTCTAATTTATTATTTTCTTGATTAGAAATTGTTTGACTGGAGCGAAAAATTATCTTTTGAAAGAAGATCTGAATCGATTAAAAGAAGCAAAACAACATTTTAATAGGTAAACTGAACTCACTTTGAAAAAATAACTTATTCATTGGAAATTGCATGATCGTGTTATCGTATCATTCTTTAACTGCGCATTTCATTCTCTGTCTCGAATATATTCCATTCCTGAAATTTGTTTGATCAATTTCACATTTCAATTGGCGCATGCTACTGTATGTTAGTAATCGAATCAATAGTCAACAAAAGTTAAAGAAAAAAATAATTTAATAATCAAGATGGTATAATGACTGATAATTTTTGATTGCGAGAAAAAGGAAAAATGAAATGGGAATCAGAAAATAAGAAATCCAGTTTAAATAACGCAATTATATATTATATATCTTATATCATTCTTTTGATATCTTTTATTTATTTTCATTTTTGTGTAAAACTAATATTAACATTTTTTCGGTTCAATTTTGAATCGACTTGTTACAGAACATTAAAAATAATACAATAATTTTTAGGATGCGATGGATCAATAAAATATTCAACATTTGGTTAATTATCATGTTAATATGGATACTTGGAAAAATCGGAATATTTTCATACTTTTCAAATCGCTTTCTAACCAGCTTGTGATGATTTGTTTATAATCTGAAATTATTATTTAATAACATGTGATTAGTAAGGAAATGCCAGTAAAAAAAAAAGAATAACGCAATAATCAATTATGAAAAAAAAATCTATTCATATATTTTAATATTATTTTTATAAACATAATTATACTATAACATTATACAAAATAAAATAAATTCAGAATATTATTAATCAATTTCTTTCTCTTTTTCTTTTTATTTATTTCTATTTTTTCTTATCTTTTTCTTTCTTACCTCTATCAATTTTGTGATTAAAAGTGAATAATACTTTTATCAACATACATACATATTCATATGTAAATGGAATTGAAAGACGTCATTGATATCTGCGCATGCATATTTATTCATCGCACATTTAATAGAAGTTCATCATTAGTCAGCAGATCAGTTAATTAATTTAACGTGCATAAATATTAGATTATATTCATTATTGCTATAATTTTATGAGAAAAAGGAAAAAATCTTATTGAGGATCAAAATTTGAAAAAATTCGGACAAAAATAGATACATAAATTGCTATGGGATTATCTTTAAATAAATGGGTAAGATTACAATTTTCTTTTTAAAATCTTTTAAATCGTGAAACGATATAACATTTTCAATAAAACTAGTGCTAATTAAAATTCATTTGATTTTCATGATATTCGCGGCTATTATAATGATTTAAATTTTTTATTAAATACATTTTTCATGTAATAAACTTGCGGAATAATAATAAGCAGTTTCCTTGTTATAAACAACAAACTATTATCACCATCTATTGCCATTCTTATCTTCTCGAATGAACTATATATTCATGGTAATCATTAAAACTGATGATTAGCTATAATAGACCATCTAATCAAAACGATTTTATAAAACGATCAATAAATCAATAATACGTAAATAATTATACATATATATATATATATATATACACAATTGCATTCAATTCGTAGTTACTATTCGTTAATATTAATTTGCAAATACGATATAATATAAAAGAATATTTATGAAATATTATGAAATAATTTAAGAATATTTTTTAATATTTTAATATTTTTATCAATTTAAAATAACAAAAATTTTTATTTGCAATAATAAAAACGTAATAAAAGAATTAATTAATTTCATTTTTTAATTTTTACTATATAATTGATTACTGAATATTTTTTTATTATTTTTTGTTTTATAGTTGTTATTTTCTAATTTCATGATTTTTTAATTAATGAACTTTTTTAACAATTTTCTTTTTTGATTTTTAAGCAAAATAAAAAACTATAAAATACTAAAAATAGCTATCTGTATAACTATTGAATCTATTTACAGGCGCAATATTTTTGTTATAAAAAGCTATGAATTAAATGTGACGAATATTAGTACAATATTCATATCTCGAAAGCAAAATACCATGTCGCATTTAATTGATTTTCACTTATTGAATGATATGAAAAATATAATTAAGAAAGTTGAAAATCTTCATCTTAATAATAATCAACATTTTCATGTAGTAAATCATATTAAAATACACACATCCACTTATTCTGATAATCAACGTGATTCCTATCGAACAAAACCTACTTCAATTTGTCAAACGTTAAACAACAATGAAAGCTATGATCAGGATTATGATCAAGATTTTAATCAAAATAATTATTACGATCATGATCAAGATCATGATCATGATGACGATCACGATCATGACGATGACGACGATCATGATCAAGATCACAAATCAAAAAATCTCATTGAACGAGGACCGATTAAATCGCCACTTTCTTCGTTAAATCGCATTAAACCATATTGCATAAATTTAGAACACTCGCAACATTTGAAAGCAAACGAAATTTTTCTCAGCGATTATGATAAAATCGATAAAAAAGATTATAAAGATACTTCGTCTAATCTACTACAAGATTTTGAAACTAATAAAAATAATAATCAAAATACGTCGCAATTATATAATTTAAAAAAAGATGTATGTATAATGATTATATTTGTTTTGTGATCAAACATGAATAAAAAACTTAATTTAAAAATTTTTTTAGTTTTCACTTCCTATAGGAAATGTTTCAAACAATGATTTAGAAATTTCGTTATTAGAAAAAGTCCAATATGGGGCATTTCAAGAAGGTCAACATTCTTCAAGTTTCTCATTAAATAATGATAATACAATTGTTTCTAATTCGAAAAGTGAATTTAGTCATACTCATTTACCGGCTTTAGCAATTCATATGCATTCTCCTAAGTTGATGCAACAAAATTTGAATTACAATATAATCGACTCTTCTCGGGTAAACGATAAATCTTTTTTTATATACTATATTAGAAAATTCAGAATAATACCCATATAATTTCGTATTACAAATTCACAGGTGATTGACACAACATGGACACCGGTACAAATCTATTCTTCGAATTGTTCGCCATCTTCTTTAAATCAATCTTATAGTGACACATCAAATTCAAATTCGAATCGAATGATATCCGATTCTCAAATCGAGAAACGATTCGAACAAGATTTAATAAATGAAAGCTTATTAGATAACATTGACCAATTGATTGAAAAGAAATTAGATGATTTGAATCTACCCAAAGTCGATGAAACGTATACACAAAATTTCTCAAGGAAGAAGAATGCAATTACTTTTCAAAGCAACAATTTTGACAAATCATATATTCATTCGAATTGTAATAAATGTAATAATTTTACGATTACGAAAACTTTGTCTTGGTCAAACATACCATATATGATACAAACTAATATTTCCGAAAAAAAAAAAACTCAAAAGATTCAAACGATTAATCCAATCGAACTTGATTATACTGTAAACATACCTATATTTTCAAATTGTTCAAAAGATGACCATAATAATAATATTAAATATTCGATAGAAACAAAAAAAGAGCACAATTTTTCTTCTTCGTACAATGACTCTTCATTAATCACATCTGTCAGTCCAAATTTGAATTTGCATGATTTTCAAAAAAAAAATTTAATAACGAATTTGAAAAACAATTTTCAAATATCAAAAGCAATTTCATTCAAAAATCAATATTTTCAACTATTATGGTAAGTTTTGATTTTAATCATTGAAATTCATCGATTCTATTATCCAAGATTTTATTATATGATTCTAGCCATTCCAAAGAAGATAAACAATTTCGATTATTGAGACTATTACCATCTGTAAAGGCGAGTGAAAAATTAAAAGAAAAATTGAATCCAGACGAAGTGGAGAAGGCTATGATTAATTACTTAAAAAACCAGCAAAAACACTCACTAAACAAGACGAAGATGGATATACGTAAAAAATCTACAATTTGATTCACTAATTTGATTTATAATTTTACAATTTGTTTTACAATTTTATTAACTTTTTAATTGTTTGTATTCTTTCTAATAGAAAATTGATGTGTTTGGTCAGCCATCCGAATGAACTTCTTGAAAATCTAGCCTATCTGGTACCGCTTGTAGAACGTTTGAGTACAATCAGTGGAGCTTTAACGATTATGAATAATCGCGGTGAGGATGCGCTTTATTTAGCTGCATTAAATTGCCCACAATTTTCTTTTGTTGCTGGATATTTAGCTGCAACAATGTTAGAAAAAGGAATCGATATCAGTCAACAATTGTATCATACTTGGGTACGATTTTGCGTTTTCTCTTTCTCTCTTTTTTTTTTCTGTTTACACCGATTGATTTCTTAAATAAATATCGTTTCTTAAAAATTTTATTATTTTTATAGGGTAATACTTTGATACATTCAATCACGGCAGGGGGGGATTTTTATAAAGAAGTATTAAGTGAATTATTGGCTTTAAAAACAATTCAAGGAAATATGCTATTTGATTTGTCAAAACGTAACTATGATGGTTCGTTTAGATTCAAATAAAAAAACAAACAAATTATAATTTTCTCATGTTTATCATTTCTTTATAGGTAAAACAGCTCTTCACATTGCGATTGAATCACATAAACCATTTACAAAAGGAATCACATCATTAGAAACAGTGAAATTGCTTTTAAAATATGGAGCAAATCCTAAAATTAAAGAAATGAAATATGGTAATAATGCTTTGCATATGGCGATTTTTTCAGACAGTGATCCTATTCTTATCAAGGTATTTTATTGTTTTATTCATTGACAAGTATTTAATTTAATTTTATAGATCTATTTCCAACATTTTCTAATCTATTTTCTTTATATATGCTACATACAATAGCTATTATTGGATACTTGTGCTTCCGATTTGGTAAACGCCGTTAATTATAATCATGATACAGCATTACATTTAGCTATATCATCTAATATTTTTTCGGAAAAACAAAAAAAAATATGTTGGTTATTGCTTAACGCTGGAAGTGATCCTAATTTGCCGAATCATCAAGGAAAAACACCGCTAGCATTTGCTTGCCTAGATGGAAAAGAAGCTATAAGACGGATTTTTTATAAAGCATCATAAGAATAATTGAAAAGACGAATGAAGAAATATTACAATATTTCAATCATTTTCAATATCATTATTATATTTTTCGTTTATTATCATGTATAATCTGCAACAATAAGACTTCTCATTTAATCCTTTGCGCTCTCCTTTGAGTCTCAGTCACTTATCGGTTCGATGCGATAACTCCAGAAGTGACTCTCAAGTATCATTTGGATCGATGCGGCAATTCGAACAATGACAATATTTATTTATGTTTGATTTTTTTAAAATATCATGAATAGATTCCTAAACTCTTTAGATATAATCTTATAAAGTGTAGAATAATATACTATCAAATGATTAGATTTTTTTATCCGAAATTAGACCGTGATCGCGGATCGAATTACGGTCGGCGAATATTTTCGGCGTTAGTCCAAGTTTGATAGTGGCAATAGAAATATTATTTTCAAAGTTTTTGAGTTTTATAAGCATGGAATACGTAATGAAATTATGGTAATGAAATTAGTTTAAGTGAAGATGAATTTGATTTTTCATTATTAAATAACGAAATTATTTCTATTCATTAAGAAATTGACAATAGAGAGAAGGAAAATAGAGATGTAATAAGAAAAGATGAAAAATAAGAATAATAGTGAATATGAGAGCACATTATTGGAATTATAAAATTCTGACAAATCGAAGATGCATTTTAGTAATTATATTATTATTAAAATATCATACAAAACAACAATATAAACTTTAATATTCGATAAATTTTCTTTCTTCATATGTAAAGATATATAAAATATTAAAATATAAAAGTTTTATACGTTAATTTGTGTGTGAAATCATTTTAAGTTAGCTAAGAAATTCACAGAACGAGTGCGGGAAATCATCTGGAGTTGTTGATTCGCCCGAGAGAAAAAGGCCTGAAGTGCAGAGTTAAGTTTAATTGTATTTTCTTGAAATATTCGGTTAGATGATTCCAATAGATCGTCTATCGATTGCGCATAAAAAATCGAAAAGAAATAAAATATAAATATGAGTTAGGATTGAGAAAATATCATAATACTTACGTAAATATTTTTTCTTATCTGGATTTTATTAAGATTTAAATATCAATCATATAATTAAATAAATTTATTTTAAATGATAAAAAAAAAATGTAAAATAATATAAATTTTAAATTTAATGAAATATCTGGCGAATTCGTTTTTGCAATATATTTTTTCAATATAAAATTGAATTATTATAAATTATTATAAATGGATAAATATATAAAAAAAATTGATTTTTCTTGTATATATATATATTTATAATGACTCATAGTAATCTAAAATGAAGATTCATTTCATATAGCTGAGTTAATATATGTTACCCTATTGAAAGTTTAGTATATGGACTACGTTACTTACGAATTATTTGCATGTCACTCAATATGAAAGCGGCATGAAACAAGTGTCCATCTTAATCCTGACGATCAACCATTGATCGGTATGTTTATTCGCTGTTCGACTTCGGTGTTAATATCACGTTACATTTTTTTCTTTAGTTTCTATCATTTATTATTTTTGTTATGCTGTAAAAATTGTGAAAATTAAAAGATAATTCCATTGCAGTGATATTATTTAGTGAAACAAAAAAAAAAGAAAAAGCAAACTAATTAAAATATTATTTGTAATTTTTTAAATAAATAATAACCGAAGAATTCGATTGCTGAATATTGTAAAACAGTTTTTTTCGAGATATTATATAATATAATCAAAAATTAAATAAAATCTACTATAGAAACGAAATTTTCAAATATTTGTTTTTGATATGAAATTGAAAAGAAATGAGATGAAAATAATATTAATAGTAATGAATTGTATATTATTATTACTAACAACTGCACTTAATATTAGTAAACAATGTAAAATTTATGAAATGACAACAGTAAATTGTCATTGTATCGGAAACGAGGTAAATTTTATATCACACAATTTATCATTACGATCGAATGGATCTTAAATAGTGAGAAATGCTTCAAATTTATGAAAGAATTTGCTGTAAAGATTTTCTTTTACAGGAATTTTTCTTGCCGGAAGGATACAATTATGAAAATGTGACAAGTATACGAATTGCATCTTGTACCATTGTGAATCTTCATTTTTCCAGTTTAACGGAAGCGAATAAAATAACAGAAATAATTGTGCAAAATATCAGTGAGCGTTTGATCTTCGAACTATTTTTAACATCAAAAAAATAAAAAACTAAAATTATCAAAAATTCAACGAATACCATTAATTACTCATGACACATTCGTTAGATTGAATAGCATCGAAACGCTTCGTATTGAGGACACACGAATTGATAATTTTGAAGAGCGATTTACTGATATAGCAATAACCAACTTTTCTATGATCAATGTTACAATTGAACGTATTCATGAATTAAATTTTTTAGAACGAGGTGAAAGTCTATATATTAAAAATAGTGAATTTCAAAATGTTATTGGTTCATTGAATTTCGCATATTTTTCAACGGTAAATATTCTTCATTCCAAGTTTCAGTTACAAAAACCTGGTTATATATTAATCGAAGGAAATATTGTTTGTATTGAAAACTGTATTTTTTCAAATTCGAGTGCAAATATAGTTGCGACAGATAGCATTAAAATAAACAGTATTTGTGCAGATGGAAAAAGTTCTATGAGACTCTTATCAAGTAATATTAAAAGCATGAATAATCGATTGCCTACCGAAATCATTTACACAAAGAATAAGGATAAATTAGAACATTTTTTTTACCGAAATAATACGGTATGTATCGCTGGAAATTGTAAATGTCCAAAAAGTAATGGTCAAAATATGCATTTGATAAATTTATTTCTCGCATTTATTTTTCGATATTTATTACCAATTATTATTCTGGAATCAATGTTTTCTTAGTTTCATATAAAGTATTTTTTCTTTTTTTAAGTAAATATAAATCATTGAATTTATAAATTAATGAACTAATATTACTCCACAAAATATACTTTTTGTAAATAAAAAATAATTTATAATAAATAATTTTATATAGCATCTTTTATTCTATTTTTCTCAAATTTATATATTAATCTATTAATTAATAATTAATATTTATTAATTAATTACATAAAACTTACATTTATTCCATATTGCCATTTATTCTTAATGCATGTCTTGATTTTGATTTCAATTATTTAAAAAGATATATATAATAAAATATAATTTGTATTTTCATAAAAATTCATACATATTATATTAATATATATATAATATATATATATAT